TCTCAAAATGCTTTTAGAGACGTGTCTTTTTGCTATAAAATGTGCAGGATCTGCTAAATATGAAAGGAAAACAGAGAATACACTTAAATTATGAATCATTTGCTGTCCTCGGTTTTAAGTGTTGGAGGATCTGGAGTTTCCCGAGGGAAGGGTGATATACTGTATATACCCAGGAAGTGAATACTTTAAAATTCAACTCTAAAACATTAACACTACTCCCTGTTTAACACCGCATGCATTCTTGGAGTCATCATAGAGATTTATTCAGTGCTGTCAGTTCTTTGCGTGTTGTAAGGTAGCTGCTCCCTGTTGGCTAGCTCAAAGATTTTGTTAATCACAGAACTTGTCAGACACATAAGGAGCTTTAGTATCCCAATTTAAGCACCATTTCTGCTTTGCTCAATTTATCTTTATTGTATCTTTTTCTGTGGTCTTTTAACTTTTTCGCTTATTCTTTATTTTTTTACCTGTTTCACTGGAGCATTGATGTTGATGTGCTACAGAGACAGAGGAAAGAGAGAAATACCTCAGTGCTGCTGGCTGATGTGTTCCTTTGACACCTAATTAATTACAGGAGGGCTTTGTTAAAGGTGTCTCCTGTTACCTTTACTCCATGCCTACTCTCATTCTTTCTAGCCCATCTCCACTGCCACCCATTTTTCCATCATCCGGCTTTTTTTCATTGTTCTTCCAAATTTGTTTGCTTCCATAGATTGTTTTGGGACTTTGAGGAAGATAAGAAGGGCTACAAGCATCTAATTTATCATAAGGGTCAAAGTGTCATTAATTAAAAAGTCGTTAGCCGACAAGAAACGAATCCTCAGGAGGTCAGATGAGAGACTTCGTATGGAAAACCACAAAAATAAACCTAAATACAAAAAAGAGATGTCAAAATATGCACTGAAATGTGCGACTTTTTTTCTTTAGCTTTTTCAAACTACCGCAATTTATTGTGAGTGACAAGCAGGCTTTGTGTGCTCACGAGGAAATGATACAAATAGGTCAAAAACAAAAAAAATCACTGAAAAGGAAGATTTGGTTACAAAAACAAACCCAACAGCCTGCAGAGGTGAGTCAGTTTATTCATCAAACGCAAGCAGCAGCGAAGCCTTCCGCTATGCCCGACCGGCTGTCGGGCCACCCTACATTTTTAGCTAAGATTTGTATTTGAGAAATCAGAATTAGGTTAGTCGTGAGCCAGTACTTGTGAATGACCGTCATTTAAGACCATACTGTGAGACCTTCGTAACAGGACTCGGAGATTTTGTTGACCTCAGCTTGTTGTTTAGAAACATAGTTTCTGTTGCATTTACGTGAGGTTTCAGCTCTGTAAACACATGTAACATGTATACTTCAGAATATCACAAATAAAACAGTCACTTGTTTGTTATAAGCAATTACATAAGTAACTGTAATGATCATAAGAATAAAAC